AACAAAAAAAATTTTTTTTTTTTTAAATTAACGGACACTAAACACATTAAAAGTAGGCTTCGGATGAAACCTTGAAAATATATAAACGAGATTGACAACGTACACGCACACACACACACGCTATATGACGTGGGAATTTCATTTATTCATTTTACGGTTTGAAAAAAAAAAAAACTTAAAAGAAAAATAAATATTGAATCGCCTATGCAAAAAATCATGTCACTCATCGTTGGATGATTTTCAATTTGGCAAGAAAATTATTTTCGTAGAAGAGTAAAAAAAGAAAAAAAAACTAAAAATCTCTTATATAATTTTTTTTTTTTTTAAATTTTTTCTCCTTTTATTCATTATTAAAGAACCGAACCTTGAAAACCTTATTTAAAATATATAAAAAAAATCACTAAACAACAACAACCATCACTCCACGATTGTCTCTCACTAATACTCGATTAATTTTTTTTTTTCCTCATTAAAAACTTTTTTCACTACGACAAACAAAAAAAAAAGGGAATTTTTTTTTACTATAATACGTAATATTTTTACATCCGCATCCGAGGCCTACCGCAATCAAATAAATACTGAGCCATTATTATTATTATTATTACGATTTCGTTTGAATTTTTAAAACAAATAATATACACATATATATATATCCGTTCCAATGTTTTTGTTTTTTCCTTGTCTCTTTCATTATTTTTATTTTTAAAGCCAAAATTAAAAATAAATAACGGGTTCTGAACGGAGTAGAAAAAAAAAAAAAAGAAAATTTTGGGCGAATCTCAACATCTGTTCATCATCATAAAAGAAAATCTGTTTCGATTTAAAAAATTTTCCATCAAATTATTTCCATAATTTTTTTTCTCTCCTTTTCCAGGACGAAACACACAAGAAAACGACAAAATAAAATTAAATTTAAAAGAAAAAAAATGAAAGAAACTAATCTCAAAACTAACTTATCGTGTAAACAATAATAAAAATTGTTTTATTGGTTCGTTATGATAAAAATAAATATTTCGATTTTATTTTAAAAAAAAAAAAAAAATTAAACTACGATGAAGACGTGTGCAAAAAAAAAAAACGAAAAATTAATTAAATTTGATATTAAAGGAAACCTTACGTGAAAATATTTTCAACAGGTCAAATTTAACCAAACTCTATTTCTTTCCTCCCCCCCCCCAAAAAAAAAAAATATCAAACTACATTTACGTAAATAACAAAAAAAATCGTTAAAATCCTAATCCACACAAACACGTTTAAAAAAAAAAAAAAAAAAAAAAAAACTAAATGAAATTTTTTTTTTTTTTTCATTTTAAACTGTTAACGAAAAGGTTTTGTTTAGTTAATATTTACTAAAACCCATAAAATTATGGAGGAAAGGGGAGAGAAGGGAGAAAGGGGGGGGGGAAATTACGTGCTTCGCAAATTATGAGAGAATTTATAAGAGAAAAAAAAAAAGCGAAATTTTTTTTTTCTTTTAAATTTAACGTTGAAGTTTTAAAAATTAAATTTCCGCATGTAATAAGGTGTGCTAAATAAAAAAAAAAAAAAAAAATTTCCAGGATTCTTTATCGATCACGTGGTAATTCAAACATTTCCAAAAAAATACCATGTGTTTTCTCATGACAAAAAACAACCTAAAATCCTCCAATGAAATTTGTGTAATTAATTAATTAATTAATTTACAATATTAAAATTATTTTGCGGCGAAAAGTTTTCAATTTTGACCCAAACTACTTTCACATGACCTGCACAAAAGAGAGAGAGAGAGAAAAAACAAAAAGAAAATTAATTCTCAACGAGGTTTTTAGTAACATGGTGCAAACACAAACGAATAAATCAAATGATTCTAAGAATTCCCGGGGGATGTTATTAAAAATCCCGACGAAAAAAAAAAAACCGAAAAACCTAAAAAAAAAAAAAACAGAAATATTTTTTAACGACGATGAAAAATTTTTGGTATTTGTATAGATAGTTTGACCTTTTTTTAAATAAAAATATTTTCAATAGATTTTTATTATTCTTCTTTTAAAATTTATTTTACTTTTTGTAAAACAACAGACAATTTTCTTTTTCTACGAAAATCACGGAAAATGAGACGATGATAAAAAAAAACAAAATTAATTGAAAACAATACAAAACAGAAAACAATGTTCATTTTTTGTTAACTTGATCTAAAATTTTCGTGTGACGTGCCACACACACACACACACACAACCGAAGAAAAGAAAAGAAAAAAAAAAGAAAGAAATTTTCCATCGCAAACTAATTGAACTTGAAAAGAGAGAGAGAGAGAGAGAAAATTTCGTGATCTGTTGGTACTCTTACACTCTAAAAAGAAAATGAAAAACGTGAAAATTTACGTTCGATAACAAAGATTTAGATATAGAAAAAAATAGAAAAAAAAACACGTCTCGATAAATAATAATAATAATAATAATAATAATTTTCTTTTTATTCTTAATCGTTTAATTTCTTCTTTTGTTATATCTTTCGATCGAAAATTTTATAACTGATAAGAGAATTTTTCCCTTTTTTTTTTTTTTGCAATGATAAGAAAAACTTTGTTACATAAGAGAATAATAATAATGAAAAAACTTTATGAATGCGAGCAAAACAAAAAAAAAGTGTCGTAAATTTTGTACCTGAATGGCTAAAAAAAAAATTCTTTGCAAAATAAAATTTAATTTCCCACCCCCTCCCTTCCAAATTTTCAATTATTATTATTATTAATAATTAGTACGTTAAAACTCAAATTTTCAAAACACACTTACACTGATTTGTAAAAAAATTTCACGCACGTTGTATTTGAAATTAAAAACAAAACAAACAAAACAATAACACGGTAGACATTTTTTGTTTTTCCCCTGCTTTTTAAATCATCGTTAACTAACCAATCGATACGCATAAAATAATTTTTTTTTTTTTTTTTTTTGTATAGGAAATAATTTTCAATGACGACAATGTTTATTATATCTTAAAACGAACGAGATATTACACACAAAAAAAAAAAGAATTGAATATCTCTTTTGTTTTGACATCAAGTTACTTCTTAACGATTAATTTTTTTTTTTTTTTGTTGTTGTTATTCTTTTGTTTCTTATTTTTTTGATTACTTTTTACCTCTTCCTGCCTAAATAATACAAAAAAAACGTGCGTGCATAATTACTGATATCATACTAAATACAAATAGAAAAAAAAAAAAAATTACAACTTATAGAGTTGGAGAAAGGTAATTTAATTTAATTTTTTTTTTTTTTTGTCAAATGGACATTTAGGTCAAGTTTAAATAAACCGACATAGAAAAAAAAAAGTAAATACAGAAAATAAAATAAAAAATCGTCCATGCATGAAAATAATAATAAATGGCCTTGAATAATAGAAAAAAAATATAAAAAAGAAACCATTACTTAACTGATCTAGTTTTTTTTTTTTTTTAAAATTAACTTACAATAAAAAATAAAAATTACTTTAAATGAAATAATATTTTTATTTAAAAAAATATAAAATCATTTGTAATTTTTAATTAATAAATAAACATTAAAAACAAACAAAAAATTATTTACTATTAACTCAAACTTTGGTGTTTTTATTATTGGCAATTGTTTCGATTCAAAATAAAATTATGGAGTCTGTCAATAATAATAATGTAAAAAAAAAATTTATAAATTAATATGTTAATGGTTATAAATGACCAATGTTTAGTTAGATTCATCATTTTTTAATAAACACACGCACACACACACAAACAAATTAAAAAAATGTCAATCATATTTTATTAATGAAAAAAATAGAAAAAAAAATTTTTAATTAAAATTTAGTTACATTATTTGTCTGACATAAAATTTTATTTTTTTTTTTTCATTCGATAAAAATCATTTTAATAGTTTTTTTTCAAAAGTTAAACTGTTTAATAAACCAAAAACAAAAAAAAAAAAACATTTTTAATCGATTTGTTTCGAATGAATGTTATATGTCAATTGAATTATACTTAAGGGTATCCTTGAATTATTATCTTGGTAATGCATACAAGATAAGGCTAATCTAATTTCATAACACAAAAATTTTATTAATACACCTGCCTTTATGTAGAAAATATTTATAAATAATAATAATAATAAGGAAATTTCCTATTATGTTTTGTGTTAATATGAATTTTTGCAATTAAGCTTCGGCTTTAGATATGTTTATTAAATAACTGCATTCGTGATTTATTATTAAAAGAAATTAATTTGAAAAAAAAAAAAATTGTTTTAGCATTTGCATTAAAAATTTTAAATAGAGCATATTTTTAAATTATTATTTTTTAAAAACAAATTTATTATCATAATAATTTGTCTTTATCATTTCTATAGTGACTTAATACTTAAATTATAAAGATAATAAAACTCACAGACAGAAATGTAAACATTATTATAAACTAATTATAATTAAAGAATAATAATTTATATTTAATTGGTATATCGAAAAAAAAAAAAAAAAATTATTGCCCAACTCAATCTTTGTTTTTAATTCTAAAAATGTTATCGTATATTGTTATGTATATCTTTTTCATAAAAACAAATTATACAATGCACTTAATTAAAAAACAATTTTGAATTTGTCAATAAAAAAAAAATCAATAAAAAATGATTTTTATTAAATAAAATAAATAAATAAATAAATGTTAAATTATATATATTTTTTTTAAAAAAATTTCTTTACTTCAAGATAAACTATATTTAACCTTAATCACTGAGTTATGCAATAAAAATTTGACACTGAACCTAGTTACTATAAAACAAAAAAAAATTTTGAATACAAATAATTAAAAACAATGAAAATAGAACTTACCTATATCATTCAATAATTATTTTGAATTAGTTGTTTTACAGGTGATATTATGAAGTCAATAACGAAAAAATACATTAAATGACAATAGAAACTCAAAAACAATAATTTCACATTTCATTATTAAGCTATATTCAAAATAACTTAAAATAGTGACTTTTTTTTTTTAACCTAACTTTATTTAAGTTTTAAAAAAATCGTAACACTGGAAACATCAAAATTATTTAATGAATAAAATTAAATATAAGAGGCAAATTGACTAATTATACTGAACTAAAAATAATTATAAAATTCATTACTTTCAAGATAGAAAAGTTTGATGAGACTTGCGTGAATATATATGTATGAAACCAATTGTAAATTAGAATTAATGTAATTCGACTTGTTGCCTGCGCTTTTTTCAATCGCCAACGTTTTTATTCACAATTGATTTTATTTAAAAATAAATGTACATTCTTTTGTATTTATCTTTATTTATTGTTGCCTTATCATAAAAAAAAAAAATTTTAAAGTACACAATTCAATTTTTTTTTTTTTTCGTATTGAAAACTAATAAAAAAGTTATCACCAATTTTTTAATCCATTCGGATCTTTTTTTTTTTTTTTTGCAAATACTTTAAGACTTTATTTGAAGCTTAAATTCCTAAAATTTATAGCTTTTAAAATTTATCCTTAGCTTTCATTAATACTATTTTAATTCAATTATATTAAGCCTATAAAACTACTTTCTATTTTGAAAAATTATTAAAACGATACAGTTAGCACTCATCACTTTTATAACACTTTTTTAAAATTAATATAAATTTATTTTAAGATAATTACCGTACCTTAAAATGTATGTTAACATGTGTTTTTCACAAAAATACTGTAATTTAAAAAAAACTTTTTTTATCTAATCAATAACAACTATTATTGTATTTATTTTATGATAAATTATAAATTATTACGACCTTTTTAAATAAATAAAAAATTAACATTTTTTATTGATTTTTAATATATATAAATTTTTAACACGTTTTAATCTATAATATTTATTAATAATTAATAAATTTCAAAACATTTAAAAAAATTTTTTTTTTTTTTTTTGTAGTTGGTAATCAACATTTGTAACGTTGCCTATTAAAAACTTTGTTTAGCAACAATAGATTAAAATAACCCTTAACTTTTATTTATGAATATAAATGATCAAGATATGATGTCCGAAGAATCTGAGGATGAAGGGGGAGGGGAGAGTAGAGAAGAAATGATATACAGAAGAAAATATCAAATGCTACTAGAAAGATGTGAAGTTCTTCAACAGGTAAATTACAAGTTTCTTAACACTTACTGTGACTCTTCTAATGTAGTCAAATTTTCCCTTCAAAATATAATTGTTTAATAAAACCTAATTAAATTAATGACAATATTTAAAAATATTGATGATTATTAATTACTGTCAAGTAATTGAATAAAATTCATGTTAGGATAATGAAAGACTGGTTCATAGAATTCAAGAAGTTTACAAATATACTAGACAAGTTAGAAAAGAAAGAAAATTTTTAATAGATAGACTGGATGGTCATGGTGATAATTGGAGGCAAGGAATAACACAATATTTTCACGATAATAATAATCATTATGGTAAATCATCTTCAAAGTTAAAAGTAAGTCGTGAAAATAATTTATTTAGTCGAAATAAAATTTGTTTAAAATTTGCAAAATAAAAATTTTTTTTAAAGCATCATGAAGATAGAAAATCGAAAAAACCGAGTTCTTCATGTAAGAAGCCATTCAAGGAAAAAACAGATTTGGATATGTCTAAAAAACAATTAAAAGACACACCTAGTAATGTAGCCAGTAACAGTGGAAAAATTACCTCGAAAAATATATTAAATTATAATTTCATGTAAATATTTTTTTTTTTTTACCTTGATGTACAATAAAACACAATTTTCAGTGAATATTATTTAAAGTTTTGTAAAACAGGACATTAGGATATAAATCTAATTAAAAAATTGTTTAAAATTTTACTGTGCTTAATTTCATTGGTTATTGAATGAAAGCTTTCCTTACAGTGATAATTCGAATAAGATTTTCCTAATAAAAATTCATTCTCATACCTTAAATTTTTTCAATTAAAAAACATATTTAATGTTAATTAATTTAAAATTATGCCGATTTGAAATTTTTCAAAAATAAATTTTATTATTGTATTAAATAAACATTTTAATAATTATTCACAAATTAATTTATCAGTTTTCCTTACTTATAATTTTAAATTTGAATCAAAATCATAACTTAAAATGTTAAAAAACTTAGTTAATAATACATATTTATCAATTGTATACTTTAATAAAATAAAAAATTTTTTTTTTTCAAATTGTTAAAATAATAAAAAAAAAAATTTTAATATTTAATTTATTTATAAATACGTATATTTTAACAGTGTTTGATTTAATTTTTAATTTTTAACTAATCTACAAATTAATAATTTCAATTTTTTTGCACTTTTTTTTTTTTTTTTAAATTTAATTAGGTGGTTCTTTAAATTTCTTTTTTTTAAAAATAAAATTGCACGTATTTAAATTTAAACTTTATGATGAGTGCATTTTCCAACCAAAAATTTTATCAGCAAACAAATTCTATATAATAACGGCAAAATAGTATTTATGTATAATTTTAAAACAAATTTTTTTTTTTTGGATGTTCTTTAACCCATTTAAAATTGCCTTTAATTAAAAAAAAATATTTAAAGAATTTTTTTAAAAAAGTATTTTTTTTATCAAATTACCTTGGGAATGAATTATTTTTTTTTTTTAAAAAAAAAAAAATCAAGATGGTTTTTTATGATTTAAAAAAAAAAAAAAAAAAAAAACTATTTTTTAAATAAAAATTAATTCAATTCAAGCTTTCATTTGTGAATTCAAATACTTTTTTAATCTTTTATCATAAAAAAAAAAAGAAAAAAAAAATTTTTTTTAGTTATAATTTAGTAAATATAAATTATATTATTTCCGATAAAAAAAAAAAATATTTTTTTTTTAACTAAATAGAAACAAAATTATTGAAGGTTAAAAACTTCAATATGACGTAACGTGAAAAATTTTTTTAAATTCATTTTTTTTTTTTTTAACCAATATATCGAATACATAAAGAACTTAATTTATTTATTTATTTAAAAAAAAACTTAAGTTTTAAATATCTTACTCTCCTGTCATTATTAATAATGTCTTTAAATTACATTTTTTCGTTTTAATAATTTAATAAGCTTATGTACAATATCAAATTTTATAAGAATATTATTAAGACAAAAAAAAAAAAAAAAACCCTCGATTGATCTCATTTTGTAAATTTTTACTCAATTTATTCGGGTAACCAAATTTTAATAATATTTATTCCCTAAAAAAATTTCCTTTATACTATTTAACACTATAAAAATAATATATATAATATACATAC